AGAACTGTTAATATTCATATCTAGAATTCTTTACATTCAGGCTAAGAAAAGTTTATATGCAGATTAAGAAATGTTCATATTTTATTTAATGTGCTTTTATAATTGTTTGTATTCAGGTTAAGAACAATTGATACATAGGTCAGAATAGCTTATTTTCAGGTTTCAAATTGTCCACAATTAGATTTAGAATGGTTTATATTCAGGTTTGTAGGTGTTGATACTCAGGTTAAGAATAGTTTATACTCAGGGTATGAATAGTTTATTTACAAGTAAAGAATAATTTATACTCAGATTAAAGATCCTGTATGTTGCAATTACGGTTGTTACCATATTTGAAGATATTTTTGCTTTTCAGAGTTTTTTCTTTGCGAGCTTTAATTTCAAATCGTGCTTTTTTATCCCTGGGAAGATGTAAAAACATGGCTCTGGACAATTTTTTACCGCATTGATAGTTCATTTTCCTTAGTATTTTCTTATTGCAAAAAACATCCATGCTGAGTTGTTTTTATAATATTTCAACCAACAACAAGTTTTGAAGTAACGTTAGTCCATAACTCAGAGCAACCCGAGTAGATTTTGATGAAATTTGATGTTCTTCATTTTCCTATTCATATAAATGGATGGACGGACAAACGCCATTTCAGTATCCACGTTCCGATTTTATCTGCATTGTAAAGATAAAATCACGATGTGATTTAGATTTTTTATGTGAAATATAACGTTATCTTCAATTAGTATATGCAATAAGAATATTTAATCACTAGCACTATGTCTATCTCTGCGTTGAAAACATCATTTGATTCGAAATATTTATTTATTATACTTTGAAGAGTAATTGAAAATATTTTCCATTACATTAATTAACGTCATTCCCCTGTGATAAGATTAATCGTCCTTTGTATAAATAGGAATTATTACTCCTTTACACCATGTCCTTTGGTCTATACCAGAATCAAAACTTTTACTAAATATAGTGCGATCAAGTGATTTGTGTCAATAAAAATCAGTCCGATCCTAAACTACAGTTACCATCCTACATGCAAGATTACGTATGTGTTAAAGCAGACAGAAAAAGTCACTCCTTCTTTTGAAATACGTATAATAATTAGATGCTTTTAGCACACACTTTCCACGTTTCATTGATTCTTTCCTTAAACTAAAGATGATAAAATATTCAAAATTCATAAATATCGGTTAAAGATTTGATAATTATTACTTCTTGTGACCAAAACACATAAACATCTTTGTTTAGCTATTTTGTAAGGTGAAGCCATTAAAGGCATTTTACTGCCAGTGAAGGCATAGGTATTCTTTTTATCTTGTATGTTTCATGCCATTGAAGGTATCAACCCGGCCACCAAAGGCATATTTTTGTATTAAACCTTTTGCATTTTTCATGCCTCTGAAGGCATTTTCCTGCCAGTGAAGGCAGATATATGCATCAGCATTTGATATGGTTTTGCCACCAACGGCAGACTTTTGTATCAACTAACTAATATGGTATATTCACTTAACAGTTCTGAAGACAAATCTATGTATTAAGCATTCAAAAAAAATCAATAAAAAGGTATATCAATCTACTTTAGTGTTCGCCAATTTTTTTAAGCCAATCACCGACGAGGATTTTTCAAATTTTCAGGTTTCAAATCTTAATAGAACAGATTTTATATAAACTGGACGTTTTATATTATAAAACGCAAGTGGGCGGAGCACTAAGCCGGTTAGAGTGCATATTGGATGTTCTTCGTAAATAAGAAAGCTACAGTCGCTTCGCAAGCTCCGCTCCTTTTTAGCTTTCTTATTTACGAAGAACACCCAATATGCACTCTAACCTATACAAACTCAAACATCATAGTTTCATACAATTAGTCTCAGATGTGTGTTTCCTTTATAAATTAAGGGGCCAATATTGAACCAAGGGACATGATTTATATCAGTTTTGTAAAGGTCAATAAGGCAAAGTTACATGCTCAAACCATTTTAGTTTCACACAATGAAACTTAAATGTGTTTCCTATGTAGACATATTTGAACCAAATAAGAATTATCTAAATTAAAAATATCACCAAGGTATCGGGAAGTGTTATTAAATGATACTATTACATCTTTTTGTGTATGTTGAGAGATGCTCAACATAAAGAATCTTTCATAGCAATACAAAACCAAATTGGCGACCAATGCTACCCTATTTATACCTATAGGAATTCCTATGTTCTGTTTCAATATTTTATAACCAAACCTGACATAAATGTTGTCTAAAAGGAAAGAGAGTGCTCTACAAACTTCTTCACAGTTCCAGAGAGTATAATGTTTACAAAACAGTTTGTTAAGAAAGCCTTTTGAGAATTACTTGAAGAAAGGTAATGTGTTGCATAAAGTGTAGAAATAGCACATGTACTGACGGTTGAAGCTTGCTAGTTCTTTATTTCAAATTTATTAAAAAAATCACCAGATTTTTTATCGACAAAAGAAAAGTTTGTCAGTGATTTCGTAGAATTCTTGAAAATTGAATATAGCTCAAGCTGGTGCTAGGGAGCATGGGGGATGTTGCACTCATGTACAGACTCAGTCAACCCGAGTCTGCAATTTTTATGTAATTCTGTTGTGATTAATGCTTTCGATGGATCACTCTTTATCCAGATATTTATCGCAATATAACATGTGTATTAATGGCAGTCACACAAGGCGTCAATAAAATAGAAAGTTTACTTGAAGTGCAAGAAGTAGAATTAGTAATGAATCTTGCAGTGTACTTTTTTATGCAATTTAGAAAGTTTGAGTTCTTTTTTCATAAATTCGGACCTTAAGACTAGTCTTTTTAATCCTTAACTCTTCGTTCCGAATCAATATCAAATAAATTCCATAAATACACTGTTAAAGCATTAAATCCATGCTGTGTTTGATCTCTGATACTAAAACTAAAATTGTAAAACCTGTAAACTTATAAAATATAAGTATAATATATAATATAACGCATAGTATAAGGTATAATGTTAAATTTAAGTAATGCTTCTTCAAGCAGTATGATATCATTTTGGTCAAACATTTACGTACCTACGCGAAGCAAATTGTCAAATCCCATGTATAATATAATGTCCACATTGTACAAAACCACAACTCTTACATTAAAAGACTGCAGTGACAAGTAGTTCATAATAGCTTATGGGTAATCTTAACAGTAAAACACAAATTGAAAAAATTGTATATAAATAAATGGTTCTCTTTGTTAAGAAAATCAATGAATAATAATAATAATAATAATAATAAACTTTAGACTTTTTAAATAGAGATTCTACTATAAAATATAATCTTTAACTAAAAATAAAATATGCTGTCTTGTTTAATTTATTTCCGCGCAAGAAATCATCACTACCTTGTAGTGATGGAAAATTTCAATTCGCCAGCACTATTTTTGTTTTTAAATTAAGTGCTCTAGTGGCACTTAAAGTAAGTTGTTCACACTATTATGTGCTACCGTAGATCATCAATAGGCCCAAATATTTAATATATTCTACGATGACACAAAACTGTCTATTCTCCTGTATGTAGATGATATATGTTTGATAGCCGGGAACGAAGAGTATTTACAACCCATGCTAAATGCACTACATTGCTAGTGTAAAAAGTGACTTGTGCTTGTAAATACATAAATAAAGCAAGTAAAGCTCGTGCTGTACAGCTAAATTGTGTTTCCATGTAGGTGAAAATATTCTCGAAACAATGGACTGATATACATTTAAGTATCTTGGTGTGGTATTTAATGAAAAGGATGATTTTTCATATCACTGTGAGAGTTTTAAGGCTGAATGGATCCGTTCGGTTAATTGTACAGTTGGCCCGTCAGGTAGGGGTCTGAATAAACTGAGAACCTATAGAACTTTTAAGCAGGAACATATGTCAGAAGAGTACTGTAAAATGATCTTACCCCATAGGCATAGGTCAGCGTTTTGTAAATTTAGGTGTGGGGTAGCCCCTATTCGTATCGAAACGGGTAGGTACGAGAATCTGAGATTAGATGAACGCCACTGTCCTTTTTGTAATGTACTTGAAGATGAACAGCATGTTATATTAGACTGCCCAGTATATGATGATTTTAGATCAGAATTACTCTCTAAGGCTGTGTTGCACGAACCTTCTTTTATTAATTTTAGCAAAGACAACCAACTTGCATTTTTGTTCTCTAGTCAACCATTAGTCAGAAAATGTGCCAAAACCTGTTTTAATATTCTTCAACGTCGTCAATCTTACTTATGTAAATTATATATTTTATATAGAACATGCTACTGTATTTTTTTATATAAAAATATTTTTTATGTTTTGATGTATGTTTTTTTTTAATTTTTTTTTCTTACTTTGAAATAATAAAAAATAGCGACTGGTTTTTTTTAATCATATAAATATATAAATGTATATTTCTTTCCATTAATTTATAGTATTTGTACTGTGTAGTTAGTTATATCAATACATTACCTGAATAGCAGACATTCAATTTATTTACTGTGTTTTTTAAATCATGTTTGTCGGTTAATTAACGTATAGTATAATTTACGACACCTGGATGAAGTAGTCAGATGAAATAAATAATGTTGTAAATGTCCCAAAACATGATACTTTTTTACTGTTATTACTTTAACAACGAAAGAAATGTTGGAGGAAAATATATGCTTTACTAAGACAGCACACTGCATGTCCTGTTATTTTATGAATGCTTTTCCATATGACAAAGACAACATTTTTTTAGAGATAAGAAAAAGCTTTATTTATAGTGATGCTTCACTGCGCCAGGTGTTGGCTGCAATTTTTGTGAGCTCCTACACTTTGCCTTTTTTAAAGTGTTTATATTCTATGTTGAAGATTGAGATTTGTCAGAGTTGATCATAAACTGTATGACATTGAAATTCTTTTTTTTTGTTTTGGGAATTATTGTGTTTTTGAAGAGAAATTTGAACTTTGAAGACAAAAATAATATATATATATATAGAAACTGTATTTACATGTAAAATGCCCTCAGGAAGGATTAGTGACAACCTTTCAAATTGGATTAAGTATGAAAGATCAACCTTGTACGATATTGGAAAATCAGTGACTGCCCAAGGCAATAGACTTAATAACATTGTGGTGCAGCAAATTAAACAGTTAGAAATACAAAGAAATAAACGTGGTAAGAGAAGTGGTCAGAGTCATGTGAGATTATGGGATATTAATCAAGGAGTTAATGACGATAATCTAAGAACATTACCACAAGCTATTCCAACTGTTGTTTATAATAAACGTGCCTCAAAAACAAACTCAAATACACTTAACATTAATAATATCATTCAGATCAAGCAAATACAAAATGTCAGTGCAACAAAAAGTCAGAAAAACTTAAAAGTATGCTCAATCAACCCTAGGTCAGTGAAGAATAAAACAATAGCCATCTGCGATTTTATCCTATCAAACGACTTTGATATAGTTGCTATCACTGAGACATGGTTGAGTAGTTCAGTTGATAAAGTTTGCAGTAGTGAACTAGTTCCGAACGGGTATAAAATGAAGCAAGTTCCTCGACCTGCCAAAATGCGAGGGGGAGGTGTTGCTATTATCTACAAATCCAACATAAATTTCAAAGTTTTGACCTCATCTACCGATGGAAACTTTTCTACATTTGAACACATTGACTGTAATATAGCTATCGAAAAAGAATCCTTCTGCCTTTCTGTTATCTATAGACCACCACCATCACAAAAGAATGGTCTCAGTACAAACACTTTTCTTGAACAGGAATGGCCTTTGTTTCTTTCGAAATATGCAACTATTGGTAAACCGGTAATAATTGTCGGGGACTTCAACCTTCATGTAGACAAACTTTTAGATCGTGATGCGTTAAAATTCATCAGTTGTCTTGAAACATTTGGATTAAAACAACATGTTCAGGGACCTACACATGTTGCAGGACATACCCTTGATGTTGTTATCACCCGAGACACTGACAACATTGTGTCCAATATAGAGGTCAGAGACCCGGGGCTATCTGATTCGAGTGGAAAGATATTACGTGATCACTTTGCCGTCATTTTCAACGCTCATCTATATAAGCCACCTCCAATAAAGAAAACTGTCTCTTTCCGTAAATTCAAATCGATTAACATTAAAGGTTTCAGAGAGGATATGAAATCATTAGATATATTAAATGCGAATATTTGTATTTCCGACCTAGACGAATATGTGGAATCTTTGAACACTGGTTTGTCAACCCTTATTGATAAACATGCTCCGCTAATAACAAAAACAATCGTCCTCAGACCGTCTAATCCATGGTTTAATGACGAACTTCACGAGGCAAAACATTCCAAACGAAAGCTGGAACGAAAGTGGAAAAGATCTCAACTGACAGTTGATCATGAGATTTACAGAAGTCAATGTGCGTATGTCAATAAATTACTCAAACGAACACGTATTAGCTTTTATGCCGAAAAGATAGAGTCATGTGGTCGTGACCAAAAAACATTATTTAAAGTGACAAAAAATCTTCTTGGAAGAACCGATGAGGTTGTTTTACCAGTTGCTTCATCATCAGCAGACCTAGCTCAAGAGTTCAGTGATTTTTTCGTCGATAAAATAGATAAAATACGTGACAAGATTCGATCAGAGACAAACATACAAGCTGTACAAGTCGACACACAAGAGTGTATGAATAGTGAAATAGATGAGCTAGTTGAATTTACACCTGTAACTGAAAATGAACTGAGAAAAGTTATATCAAAATCACAAAGTAAATCTTGTGAACTAGATGTGCTACCAACATGGCTGTTAAAAGAATGTTTGGACGAATTGGTCCCGTCATTGACAAAACTGATTAACTATTCATTAGATCGCTCATATGTTCCGAAATCATTCAAAAGTTCCCTGATCAGACCGCTCATCAAGAAGCCAGATTTAGATTCCAACATTCTAAAGAATTACAGACCTGTTTCGAATCTGCCATACGTGTCTAAAATTATTGAGAAAATAGTTGACTCTCGTCTGGAAGGGTATTTAACAGCAAACGAGCTTCACGATCCCCATCAATCTGCCTATAGAAAATTCCATTCAACTGAAACAGCACTAATAAAAGTTCAAAAATGATATATTGAATTCACTAGACAACAACGATGTTACCATGTTAGTTATGCTGGACTTATCAGCTGCATTCGATACAATCGCCACACATTACACTTCTACAGCGCCTTAACACCAACTTTGGCATTTCTGGAAAACCGTTAGAATGGATACGTTCATATCTAAGTGATCGACACCAGACTGTCACAATAAATGGTGAACTGTCAAACCCTGTCAAATTGAGCTACAGTGTGCCTCAAGGATCCGTTCTGGGACCAAAATTTTTTACTATGTACACTAAACCTGTTGGTGCAATATGTAAGAAACATGGATTGGAATACCATTATTATGCAGACGATGGACAACTGTACCTCTCCTTTAAACCAACATGTCCAGTCTCTAAGAATGACTCTTTAGATCGAGTTCAAAGCTGTCTTGCGGAAATAGTAACATGGATGAACAATAATATGTTAAAAATCAATGCTGACAAGACAGAAGTAATTATATTTACATCTCAGAGAAACCAACAGCATGTTGAGACCATAACTGTGACTATCGGAGATGAAAACATAAAACCATCAAGTAGTGTAAGAAATCTTGGTGCTGTATTGGACAACAACATGACCCTGGAAAAGCACATTAACTCAGTTTGTAGATCTTGTTATGGACAACTACGCCAGATTGGTCATATAAGGAAATACCTAAATACTGATGCAACAAAATCTTTAGTGAATTCTTTAGTCACCTCACGCATGGATTATTGTAATGCACTTTTATATGGTGTACCTAAAACGACATTGAATAAACTACAACATCTTCAAAACACTGCTGCCCGCATCATCACAGGAACATCCAGATTTGAACATATCACTCCAGTATTAAAGAAACTACACTGGATTCCTGTAGTTTATCGAGTAGATTTTAAAATCCTTATGCAAACTTATAAAGCCCTACATGACCAGTCACCAATTTACCTTAAACAGTTACTGGCGCTATATCAACCAACAAGAAACTTAAGATCAAAGAACTCTTCAAAGCAACTTGTTGTTGCCAAAAGTAGGACTGTAAGATATGGTGAACGCAGTTTCTCTTCGGTGGCACCTAAACTGTGGAATGCTCTCCCAGACAGTATCAGAGACTCAAAAACAGTAGATGTTTTTAAGAAATCTTTAAAAACACATTTTTTCCAGAAAATTTATAGTAACTAACTGTGCTGTATTTGTCATCACTATGAATTGGCGTGCTGTCTTTTGTTATGAGATATCTGGGTACACATTTGAAATATAATAGTCTATTTTTGAATCACATTTCCATTACTAATTACTGTTTTCATCAAATTGGATTTAGATTTCAGTTGTCTTATCTTGATTTGTGTTGTTTTTTTTAAATTTTAATAGTTTTAACGTTTCTCTTTATTTTATTTTCAAGTCTTAGATTATTCTTCATATACATTTTTTTATTTGATCGACTGAGTTTTAGACTTTTAGATTAATCATGGTATATTTTATACTTTTTAAATGTATACATAAATGTGTGTTATTATTTTTATTACTTTTTTTTGTTTATAAAGTCATTGTAAATGTATATAATTCCATTGTAAAGCGCCTTTGAACATTTTATTTTTTGAGAAGGGCGCTATAGAAATGTGGTAATTATTATTATTTACAACACTAATGATATTTAGCATGCAATATTACTTTGTGAACCACAACATAACTGGTATTAATCATGCCCTTTGTCAATATTATCCCACTGGGGTCACTTATTTAATATAATTTTATATAGGAAGCACATATAAGTCTTATTTTGTTAAAAAACTACAATGCATAGTGTTTAGACATTCGACATGTAGCTTTGCATTGTTGGTCCTTACAAACAAGTATTAATCATGGCCCTTGGCTCGCCCCTGGGGTCACTTAGTCTTGTATGAGAAAACACATTTTAGTCTTATTTTGTGAATATTACCTTGTGAATCTCTGCATAACTAATATTCATCATACCTCTTGGGTTAATATTGGCCCGCCTTTATTCTATAAACTTGTATCATAACACTCCGGTCAAGATTGGCTGGTTCCCCAGGAGTCACTTGCCTTATGTAGACTAAGGTATAGGGAAATATATCTTTTCTTTTTGTGGATAAATACTCTGCCTCTATTTTGGCACATAGCTTTGCCTAGGAGATCTCTATTAAAGTTTTATGAATAATGCACTAAGGGTAAAAAATGCCTCTACCTTATAGGTCATAAAGTATCGTAAGGATAATCAATTTTTCTTTTTTGAAAGTCTCTTGATTGGGTCTCTACACTAATTGAAATTATTTTTGATTACTTGAACAAATATACATTTTGGCGTATATTGCCCCTCCATTGCGATGCTTTTGTTGCTACATGCTATTGTAAAGCAACCTTTGTGTCCCTTCTTGTTTTTTCTATGGTTTCCTATTCTCAATCATCTAACTGTGCTTTGCCCTTGTGCCCTCTGCAGTTTTTGTTTGATGTCCTGATTGGATCTTTGTCGGTATTTCTGTATAGCTTGGTCATGTTGGGGTGCGTAAAACGTACTGAATGTCACCCTTCCTTGTTAATCTTGTTTTTCATATATTTTATAACACGTCTCATGCAAATATTACGAGTTCACAGTGCATGGCTTAAAACATGAAATTATCATCTCCGATCTAAAATAAAGTTTTTAGTTAAAAGCATAACATGATTTTTACACGCAAGAATTTGAAGGCATTAACAAATGATACTGACATCAAATCAAACAAACTGTGATGTGTTATTGGTTTATTGGGAGAGACATTTTGTTTCTGGATGACGTAGGCAAATACTTTTATATAAATTAAAGTATTTTCTATATTTCACATTAACACGCTGTAGTTATTCAATACTGATTGAAAATCAAAATTTTGAAAAAAACAAAAATTAACTTTTATATCATGGATGAAGTGAAACATTCTCTCTCTGAATTAAATCACGAAGAAGCGAAGCAGTGCATTGGCGGTGTTGTGTTTGTAACTATTATCATGATATTTGGTTTTGTTGGAAATTTGCACGTTCTTCTCGTGTATGCATTTCGTATTAAATCATCCAATCATAGGATATTTATTCTCGTACTGGGAGCACTGGACTTTACAACTTGCATTGTTGGAATGCCATTCATCATTGTTGATCTGAGAAATCCACTGACATTCACGATGACATTTGCTTGTAAAATTCTCCGATTTATAAATTACTTCATTTCTTTGTCGTCGATTTTCACTCTTCTGGTGATTGCAGCCGACAGGTATTCAATTTTCGTCCAGTAAAAAAGTTCACTTTAAAAATCAACAATTCAATGGCAGATTTTTATTTCATAACTTATTTTCGTATTCATCAAACGAATAAATACATTTAACCAAACTCCTAGCAGCGGTTACGTCATTCTTTGATACTTTAAGTATTGCCAGCACTATCATAGGTATATCTTATGACCAAAAATAGCGGTCATTTATGTATTTTTCCTTCTTTTTTTTTAGTTTCTCTTGAAAAAGTCTTTTTAATCATTGCTGTATTAAAATCGTTTTTGAGCTACATTTGTTACCAATGAAATTGTTAGTTTGGAAACCTTGAGCTGAATAAGGATGTCAACCGTTGATGTTCAAAAAAGTTCAATTATTTTGTTATTGCTGTTCCTTGTTATTTGTTCAGATTATTTCAATTTTTTTTTCTTGTGTATTGAGATAGGATATTGTATTTTTACACTACTTTCTTCAATTTTGGTTATTAAAAAGTACTCATGTTGCTGTACAGTTGTGGTCAATGTAGAAAATATCTTTATAGCCTCTTCACAGATTTATAATTAATGCAGATGTCACTGCTCAGTATACAAAAGGTCTTTGAAGACAGATAAGTCAATAAAATCAGCTAATGAAAATAATAAGATTTTTAAAAACACATTTTGCCTCAGAAACAAATAAATTTTTACTTCATAAGAAAGGGCAAACAAGAATTTATCATGTTTAAGTAAAGGTTTTAGAGACTTACTTGAAAAATGTAGCGATAAATGTGAAACAATTTGTTATAAATGTAGCAAAATGTAAACAAAGTAGTATTTTGACTTCCATGCAAGAAACTAATTCACTATAACGGTACTTACTGCCAAAAAACAATAGATGGTATTTGGCCAGTGAGTAACTTTCAATAAACTTATAAAAGTACACCAAAATTAAACATCTTTTGAGAAATAAAAATTAAAGTATTTTTGAGGCACAATTGGCTTTTAATATTACAAACTATGCGTCTCAAAACAGTGTAATACATCAATTTCTATAATCAAATAACCATGTGGAGTTTTGTTTTAGATAAATGGCCAAAATAGCACTTAAAAATAGCACTTATAACGGCCTACCTTTCATGTAGTTGTTGGATGCATTTAATACAGGAGAGCGAGGAAAGCCCAGCGTGGATTTCTTGTAAAAAACATCAGCGTTTTCACGATTTTTGCAAATATATCATTGGAAGATACCAAATACAAGAAATATGAGTTCTACACATCGTCACATGACGATAAAAAATTTCTACCTGATGGTTAAAATTTCTTTCCATCGGTTCCAATTTTTGGAATAAATGTGTGAGCTTGACCCTGAAACGAGAAAGCCCAATCTGCAGATCGTCTCTTAATGGTTAACATTTCTGCCAAGTAATTAATTCAGTGGAAATAAGTTATTAACGGACAGACGGACAACCAGGTGCATAACATTATACACTGAAATTTATTTGGGTTAATTAAATAATAACATAAACTTGGTTTGGAATAAGCATATTTATCGCCATGTTTGACAAAGTTATGAGGGCGTTTAATTTAATAATAATTTAAATTTGGTTTAGTCAAAATGTAATGAGATAAGTTTTTTTATCGTCAAATTTGAAAAAGTTATGAATTTCAACATTATTTCATCTCCAAGAAATATTTAATTTATATCACCAATATAATATATTAAAGATCCTGTAACACATTTTTTTCATGGTTTTATTTCATAAATATGA